GTGCCGAATTAGAGGAAGAACCAGGCCCTTGAAAGCCTCTGAGAGATCCAGGGGCAGAATGATACACCCAGCCGGTTTATCCTCATTCCATCTCTTTCATTGTTTGCCTATTTTATTATTTGCTCAGAACCCCACCCGCCTTGTTCCTATATTTTCTTCGGCCTGGAGGAAGCTGCTTAGATTCACTTTGACAAAAAGCTTTGCTCTACAGAGGCAATGGGATTCTCTTCATCGAAGCGCAGAAGCAGTGGTGCACTCTGTGAGGTCCCCAGATTTCCTAAGTTTCTTCTCTGTGACTTAAAATCAGATGGTTTTGCAAATACAGTAAGAGGTGGATGAAGGCTGAGTGGAACATTCTCCAACAGCTTAGACGTGAGGGAGTCAGTCGCTCTGCAGATTCTCTTCAAGGAAATGCTTTGCTCCAACCTTCACTAAAGTGAAACATCCTTTCAAAGATTGCACAACTCTACAATTCATCCAAAGAGCAAACAGGTCAGTTGCTCCTCAGATCATATTTGAGATCTGAGTAACAATCCCATCTTGTTTAAAAGAAGCATGGTCCTGTTTATGGTACCATTCGTGTTAGCTCATTGGAAAATGTTACTTTTACGTATGATTTTTCTAACCCTTGGCATTCACCTGTGATGGAAGATGCCAAGGCATTCAAGTTGAAACCTAGATCAAAGAAGGTGTGGTTTACCTGCTTGCCATCCACCTTAAACTGAAGCAGCCTTTTACAAAGGGCGCCACTCTTTTCAGAAATTAAATCTACTTCTGTCCTTGCAGGAATGCCAAAGTTAATGGCCCCTTTGATATGTTGATCCAGAAATGCATGAAGTTCTTGTCTAGTCTGCAGGAAAGATAATCAAAGAAAGTCAAGTGCACCAGTGTCCCCAGAGGAACAAAATGATTTGTATTCCCAATAAATTGCTGCAGGTGGAAAGATTCCAGAATTCTAACCCTACTTTCCTCCCACACCAATGTTCACATTCCCCAAACAGCATTTTATAATCCCTTAGTGCACACAGTCTTTATTTGCCTGCTCTACCCCTTTTTCTACTTTTTTCCCCTCTCATAACAAGAATCAATTATGGAAGTGTATACCCGGAGAAGACATGCAAAATTCAAAGCCATCAAACAATGAGAAGAATAAATACTGCAGTGAAAAGATTTCTTTGGACAAGCCCCACTATGGTAGAATAAAATGGTCTGCTGTCTCAAAGGCTGGGGAGACAAATCAGATCTTCTCTTGGCATGCTTTCCCATAGTTTCTTCTTTTATTGGGAATAGGGTTTATCATTAGGCCATCCAGTGCCTTGAAAGCCCTGCTTTTGTCTAGTAAATAAAAGATGACAATTTTAACAAGCAAAGCTAAGCAAAAGCACAGAACTCCATGTTCAAAAGTCATTCGGCAGGGCCAAGTGATTACTCACAGCCATGCCTTTTAATAGGAGGAATCCAGTGAAAGTGTTTTCGCCAACAGTAAGCTCCACTTGAGAATCTAGATTGATCTTATCCATTAATACATGCCCTGATCCATTCATTTTTGTTGGGATTCCAAGATCCTGCAATTAAAATTAAATATTCAACATGGCACCACCTAAGAATGGCTATTATTTAACAGTAGCTAAATGTGACCTCTCAATTCCAGATTTACAGGGCTTTATTCCACTAGAAATGCAAGTCTGTTACTGGACCTCAACCTCAATTGTATGACAGTGATAGGGCAGTGATCTGGCTTCCAAGTCTACCTTGCAGGACAACTGGATGGTCTAGAAACAACCTTTTAGGAAGGACTGTGGTTGAATGCTTGCTTGCAACCAAAAGGTCCCTGACATCTGTAGTTAAAAGAATGAGATGTTGGAAAGGACATCTGCTTATGAACCTGGAGAACTGATGCTTAACAAATAGATATTCCTGGTTGATTGGGTCTAAGGCCATTTTTGTATTTTGGTGCTTCATGCCAAAGATCTAATCTTGTCCACCTAGGTTTGGAATCTAGTAACATCTGTGTGTCTTTGGAGAGGTCTTTCGAGATAGTTGCATAGTTTCTTTCAAGCTGAGGGCCACATTTGGTTTTTAGGTGATATACCTGGGGCTGTTCTTCAATGAGTTGTTGGAGGCAAGTCAAAGAAGTGGGGAGGGGGGGAATCCAAGCAAAGCAGTTGAGTTTAATTGAAGGACAATTTTTAATTAAATCTCATGAATTAAATATGATGAACATGCTCCCATGTATTTGGAAAATGATGTCTTCTATCCCATTCATGTTTACAGTACCATGAAAACTTTTGGAGGAGCACTAGGATTCCATTCAAGGCTTTCAGGAGCCCAGATGCTTCCCTGGGATCTCAGATAGCATAACTGTGCCTTCAAACATTTTGATTTGATGTGTATCATTTGGAATGTTTTTCTTAATCCCCTGTAGCCTGCTTTATTTCATACTTTTGCACAACAGACATTAAAAAAGCAGAGGATACATCAAAAGTAGATATTTGAGACCGAGTCCTTCCCAATGGTGGACTGTCAGGCCCACTAGGTAGGTCAGGATGACTAAAACTGCTTTTGCCCTTTTCAACTAGGCAACAACACCTGCATATCTCTGTCAAGGTCACCTTCCTTACTCTCTACACTGGCCAAGGCTATACCTGTATCATTTTGCAAGTGTTCTCCATCACTGCTTGCCACTGGGATCGGTTTTCTGCATCAATCTCCAAGTTGGCTTGAAGTTGGCAAAGGCCAGATTTCAGTTCCAAGTTTATGGCATGCCTGAGTTGCTTCCCACAATGAACAGTCAGCTTATTTTCTTTGGGGATCCTGTTGAAGAATGGAAGCCCGTGTCTCAGCTCCACTTCTAAAATGAACTTTGGCTGGCACTTTGTCCTTACTGTGAAGTAGGCCCCTTGGTCTTCCACTTGGAGGGTGCTGAAGAATTCTATTTGACAACCATCCTTCAGAAAGGATCCAGTTAATTGTGAGTGATTTGGGATGCCATGATCCTACAGGAGACACAACACATAAAAATGTTTGAAGGCAATCAATTTCTAAAGTTTGTTCTGGAAGAGAAAATCCTAGTGCATCATCAGGTCATAACTCTATTCCCCCTATCAAATGTCTCATGGACTTCTGCCAAACGGTCATGATGAGACCAGATCACCGATAGCTTGGAATTCTGGAAGCTGTGATCCCAACACATCTATAAGATATGAGGTTGGGAAAGGCTGATTTTGACAGTCAAGAAGGAAGAAGCACAAATTACCTGCAAAGCTTTACAGACCATCTCTATCTCCAGTGTCCATTCCATTCTGGCTTTGGGTTGGATTTCTCCTTGTACCTCCAGCTTGCAATTGCCCACATGGAGGAACAGAAGTCCTTTCATATCAGGATTACTAGTCATGGTGAGGTGGATCAAGTTTTTACGAGGCAGTCCTAGATCTTGGAGATAGGGTAGGGAGTGGTTCAGAGTCCCTCGCACAATATACTTGTCTATTTCCAATTGCATATCAGCTGCTCTACCATTGCACTGAAAGAACATTGTTAAACTTGCATTGTGGGTCTTCCTGAAAAATGATCCTCCAGAGACAAGATTCTGGGGTAATGCTGGGTTCTAGTAGACCAAAGAGAGAAAGAGAGAATTCCTTTTTAGTGAATCATTACTTCATATTATTTTTTGAATGCAGTATGTTCATAAAATCTATTAGCAGCCTTCTCCAATCTAACACACGCCAAATAAGTTGCAGTCTTAATATTAAGAACATATATATTAGTGTTTTAATATTACAGTGTTATGTTGGTAATGCTAGCTTTTAGGTATCTTTTGTAGCTCATAGCTTTTACTATAGAAATTGTTGCAATTCTTATTGATGTTATGTTATAGTGGTTATTGACTGAAAATAAAGATTTGATATGTTGCTCTACAACTCCCATCATCCCCAGCCTATTAGGGATAATGATTTGAAAATGTGCTTCAATTACAAGGCATTAGGAAAGAATAGGAAAGAGCCATCACTTGGGGGAACAGAGAATTTTAACTTTATATTAGATGAAGACGATAGTCTTCATCCACTGGCTATCATAGTCTTTGGTAAAGATAGGATATTTTCCAATGATTTGAGTTCTAACCAAGAACCTAGGAATTATTATTATTATTATTATTATTATTATTATTATTATTATTCTCGTTTTGTATCTGCTCTCAGGCTTCACCCCCCAGGCAAACTCATACGAAATCCAAGAACTACAGATAAATAAGAAAGTAGGAAGCCACAATCCAAAAAATTAAGCAACTGCTATGCTTAAAGAACAAACCATAATAATGTTCAAATCCTCTTGCATTTCATTTTTCTTTCTATCTTTAAGATGTACTACTTGGCCCCCTCTTTTGAGTAGGCTGGTCTGTCTCCATTTGTGACCCTTTTTTTTTTGTAATGGTCAGATTTGCTATTGTATTGCTTTTCACTGACTGTATGAGCACTCTCTGATCTGCCTTCTTCAGCTTGAGAAAGACTGCCTTAGAAGAAACCCTTGCATAATCACCTCCAAAGTGCCAGATTTGTTCAGAAAAGTCATCCTCCATTCTGCAGCTGTTCCTCCATCCTCTGCACTCAGTTCTCCATTGCCCATCAACATGCAACTTCCCAGGGTGATTTCTAGAAGGCCTTTGTGGGGAGCCCCTGTCACGATGGCCACTTTCCCCCTATTCTCTTGGGCAAGGCCCAGAGACTTAAGATAAGGCCAAGCATGCCTGAAGCTGATTTCCAGAACGTACTCCAGGTTGCATGCTGTGTGGATACGGAATGGAGGAAAGGTGCTTTTAGAAAGGATTTCTCTTATTACATTGGGTGCACAGTTATTAGCCACATCTGGTCCATGTAGCAATGTTCTTAATGTTGCCTGCAAGAGAAAAGAATCAAAGTATCAGCTTTGTTTTTTTCTAAACTAGACAAATGCACACATTGTGGGTATGTGCCAATCAGCCTATATCTATCTCTGTGCCTAAAGTTAGGGAGATTATTTTCATGGTTGGTAACCCTCCATATTACTGTTGTCCAAGTGTGGAGCAAAAATGTTGTACCTCTAAAGAATGATTTGCCAACTCTCCACTACATTGGGCAGAAAGCTGATGAGATGTGAATTCTCCATCACACTGGGCCTGTAGAATATCAGCAAAGATGATACCACTGCAATATGAGGCGTGGGTCATGTTTTGGTGTATTGAGCATTTGCCCCTTATTTGACCTTAAATTGGGAAAAGAATGCTAGGGAAGCTTCGTAGCTCAGTGGCAGAGCAGGAGATGGGCATGGAAAAGTCCCAAGGTTTAGTCCTTGGCAATACCTTTTGGACTGGTGAAGGACACCTGTGTGAAATCCTAGAGAGATTATGCCAGTCATCTTCAAATTAACTCTCCCAGATATGCTGGAAATATAATTCTCCAGATGGGTGGGAATTTTAGGAGTTCTTATCCAACGTATCTGGAGGGCACTAGGTTGAGGAAGGCTGGTGTAGACAAATCTTACCTAGCAATAAGGCAGCTCCTTGGGCACATAAAAGGAGAAAGAATTTGGCACAGACCTGTATTCCTGGTGGGAGGATGTGAAGTAGGGGTTCTACATTATGGTGGAGGAAAAGAGAAAATCTAGCCGTGCTGTTGGTGCGTTCGTTCTCCAGCTCCATCTTGAATTCTTCATCTCCAGCTTGAATTCTTGTTCCCATTGCAAACTTGCTGCTGAAATTCTAACCAGAGGAAGAGGCGATGGTGTCACAAAGAAGTTGATGATCTATCTGAGAGGTTCAAAGACCATTTATGCACTGCTGGAGACCTCAGTTCTCCATTTTTGTCCCTAGGCTGTTACGATATTCATCTGCCCAAAATGGTCATGGAACAACCCCAAGGAATAAACAAGAAAAGGGAAGAGAATACTCTGGAGTAGAATGGAATATCCACTCCCATTCTGCTGGAGAAAAGAATGAGAGAATTTTCTAATGAACCTCAATCAACATATTAGAGAGACACAAGAAGTGGTGAGGGAGGAGTTCCTGTTTTGCAGCAATGTTAATCTCCGACTAATTGTTTTCCTTACTTGATAGTAGCCGATGCATTGTATTTGGAAAGGTAGGCCTTGTTTCTTCAGCTCTGCGATACTGTGGTTAATGAGGGCAGTGAACTGAGTTTGAAGGGCTTCTGAATGCAATTTCTCAACTCCAAATAGGACACTAATCTTCTGGTTGTCCCCTTGAAGGTCTAGAGCTATGGTCTGGTAAGTATCATTGCGGCCGTACACAGCTCTGATGCTACTTTCTGTGGGAAGCCCTAAAAAAGACAATGGAGAAGGAAGCAGTGTAGTGGGACTGCTCAGCCTTCTGCCATTAAGGTTTTTATGAGCAAATAAAACAGCCTGTTTTAAGAACTGACCAAAAGTCCAATCCTCATGCAACAATGATGGATTAACCTTTAAATTCAAGGTAACCTGAATTCAAGTGACCATCCCAAAGGTGACTGATTCTAAAACAAAGAAGCATACAGTTCAACAGTCATTACCTGTTGCATAGAAGTTGCTGATGTTGTGTGTGAACGTGCCTGTGAATCCAACCTCATTCTGAAGGAAGATGTTTGCAAGGTCAACCCAGAGAGCTCTTGTGCCCATCTGAACATGGGATTCATCCCTTTGGATTCTTCGTTTGAATTCCAGGGAGCCTTTCAGTTTCCCCTGGGCTAAGAAGGTATCACTGCCATTCTGGGTTACAGCTACCATGAGGTTATAGAAGCTTTCATTCCCATAGAGGCATCTGCTCCGGACACGCATTGCAAAAACTGACTGGTTCACTGCAACGCTCACAAGCCCTGTTAGACAGAAGTAAAAAAATCCCTAGAGGATTTGGTGGCACTGAATTAGGGCAGCATAAACCAGGGTTACTGGATTAGAGCCCTGCTAAAGTTTCCAGAGAAACTGTAACTCTTTATGTGACCAAACCAATGTTTCTCAACCTTGGTGACTTTAAGATGTGTGGACTTCAACTCCCAGAATTCCCCAGCCACTTTAAGATGTGTGGACTTCAACTCCCAGAATTCCCCAGCC